GAAAACAAGTCAGGATTTGATTTTCAAAATAAAACTTGAAGCGTTTTTTTTTTTACACGAAGACCGTTTACGTTAAGAAACAAACTGAATATTTAGTTTATATTTTTTTAAGTGACAAGCAGCCTCCTAGCTAAACAATTTCTATAACTTGGCTCGGTTATTTGAAGGTTTATTATAGCTTTTGTTATGAAATAATAATAATGCGTAACGTGAGAGCTAACAGAGTTAGCTAATGAAGGTAAGGCAAAGATAAGTGAACAACTTTGCTGTTCGTATGGTGATAAATATAAGGTGTTACGCTTAAAGAACACTGCATAATAACTTAAATAAACCTGTCTATTTTAATACGCTATCTGTGTTGATTCGTGTTCCGACTGACCTCCATGTTAGCTCCGGCTAGCGACGCTAGCCCAACAGCCAAGTCTGGTTAGCTTATTTTGTAACCTTGTAGGAATAAAAGCAGCGGATTCGCTAGGCAGCATGCAAACATCGCACTAACACGGTTTGATTCGTGCAAAATATAGCATTAAAAACACCGAATTACAAACTATGCGAAGATTTAATCAGAAATCAGTCGGTCCAAATTACCTTACGTCAAAGAGTTTCTGAAACGCAGCTCCGTAGGAAGCTAACCCGATTAGCCCGGATACAAACAACGGAGCACAGGGTTGCCAGATAGTCCGTTTGGTCATTAGAATTTCTGATGATATTCATTCAACCTTTATTTAGACAGGTCAATCCTATTGAACCTGGATGACTCATTTACATAATTATATGCGGTTGTTCACGTTAAAATAAATGTTTGTTGTTGTTGATGTTTTTTTGGTATACGAAAATATATAAACTCTCGTGTATTTTGGCTTTTAAAAATGATTTATCGCACATGGTCCCTATTGGGGTAGTGACCCCTAAAACTATCGTATAAATAAGATAAATTTGTATATCTGGCAACACGGGCTGAGTCGCAAGGTGGTGGAGGTAAGGGGAAAGCAGTAGATTTATAAAAATAAATATTCATTTTTTCAAATGTTGGCAAGACTTTCCACCATTATATAATGTAACATCTGAAATATGTGGTATCTTTTAATGTTATTTGTTTTAAAATTACTATTGTAACAACAAAGTCCATGCTCAATGATCCAGGTATAAAATCCAACATTTTTCAGTCAGGTCATCTGGACAGTTTCTTTTTTTGTGCTGAAACATTTCGCTTTCGATCCGAAAGGCTTCATCAGCCAAGGAAACACACAACAAAACTGATTCTACCCCCAACAGCTTACGCCAAAGTGGAATAAACCAGTTCTGCTTGTGATAAGATGGTCTCTTTGGTACACCCCTCCTCCATTGCCGGCCCTCTTCCTGAAAAATGACTGAAAAATGTTGGATTTTATACCTGGATTATTGAGCATGGACTTTATTGTTTTCAACCAGTTTGACAAGACTGTCAACAAGGAAGAGGGCCGGCAATGGAGGAGGGGGCGTACCAAAGAGACCATCTTATCACAAGCAGAACTGGTTTGTTCTACTTTGGAGTAAGCTGTTGGGGGAAGAATCAGTTTTGTTGTGTGTTTCCTTGACTGATGAAGCCTTCTGGATCGAAGGTGAAACGTTTCAGCACAAAAAAAGAAACTGTCCATATGACCTGACTGAAAGATGTTGGGTTGCTATCGTAACCTTGTCCCTGCATTAGATGCATGGCTATTTGTTTGTTCCTTGTTCAATGATAAATTACCCGTAATACAAATGTTGTTGTTTTTAATGCGGAATAAAAAAACACACACTTCGTGGCAACTTGTTAGGAAAACATTTTATATTTTTACTAATGCTTCAGGAGCAGAAATATTAATATTTACAATGCATAATCAGTATAAACATCAATTGTTGGAAAGTCTAAAACAAAACAGGCAGAAAATATGCATCATTATTTAAACTAAGCACATCTTTAAAATGTTTAAAATACTGTTTTGTGTGGTAATAACTTTGAATAAAACAGCAAGGACGGAAAAGAAAACACAAATCCCCTAAAATATTGGTAATTTGAATAAATGTGTTTTAGTTTAAATCTGCTGCTCCTATCCTTTTCTATATGTTTGGTGTCAAAAAATATATATTTCAGCTGCTCCCTTCTTCAGGGGTCACCACAGCGAGCCAACTCGGACAATGACTTGGCAATTGTTTTTACGCCGGATGCCCTTCCTGCCGCAACCACAGACCATTGAGCTACCACAGCCCTCTCTGTGGAGCAGAGAGCTGCCATCTAGGGTGCTCGGGGGGTAAGGGCCTTGCTCAAGGGCCCAGAGTGGAGCAAATGACGGTGGAGGCAGGTGTGGGTGTTTCACCTTTCTCACCCATATTTTGATGTTGTTGGTCTGGGGAGTTGAACCGACAACCTTAACTAACTTTTGCACCACGCGCCACTCCCCCAATATGACTTATGTAATTGGTACTTGTTAATCAAACTGGCACTGCAGCTCCGCCTACAACAGGTTTCAACAGTCCTTTAAAGCAGTGTTTATAACTGAAAACATACTGACTCCATTTAAAAACAAGGTGGTGGGAAGTATGGGTGCAGAGGGTGCTGCAGTGTGTGTTTGAACATAAACACAAAAACAAAAATTTTAATGTGTACATTTAAATAAGTCAGTGTGCATTTTACAGCATGTATTTGGTATTATGATATTCTTCATATGGGTGGTTAGTGTTGGATAAATTCACAAATGCTCTCAATACTTTCAACATCCCCAAAAAGCTCATCAACAGTCTGTTCGGGTTGTAAATTAGAGTGAATCGATCATAAACATGTTACAAATACATACAATTCACATTTACTTAGCTGATTGTGCAAAATCTTTCAAAGTGCTGCAGCAATATGTTAAAAGATAAACTTTACCATCTCCGTCTTATCATGACAATAATTATTCAAATTTACATTAAAGAAACAATGAAGTTTGGCGGCACAGTGGCGCAGTTGGTAGAGCTGCTGCCTCTCAGCGAGAAGATCAAATCCTGCTCAGGGACCATCTGGATGGAGTTTGCATGTTCTCTTTGTGCATGTGTGGGTTTTCTCTGAGTACTCCGGTTTCCTCACACAGATCAAAAACATGCATGTTTGGCTGACTGGTAACTCTTATGTGTCCCTGTGATGGACTGGAGACCTGTGCAGTGTCCCCCGCCTCTCACACAGTGACTGCTGGATATACCAGTGACCCCCTGGGACTGGAAAAGGAAGAAGCGGGTAAAGATAATGGATGGAAACAGTGAAATCCAGTAAAAAAGTTAGAGATTTGCCCCCCGTCAGTCTCTTTCTGGTTGGGGTGTCACTCCGACTCAGTGGTTGGAGGCTGATAACTGGGCCTTCGTGAAACCCGATCGAGTCGATCCACGGCCACGCTCTCGAACGCCCTCCTCATCAGAGGATGCTCCTCCAGGACCTCGTTGAAATCGTCCACGCTCAGGGAGTAAAGACGGCAGTAGGTGTCGGCCCTCACGCTGGCTGTCCGTCGGCCCTGGGTTAAAAGGCAGATCTCTGGAGCAAGAAAAAAAAAGAAATTAAGAAATTTTACTTCACAGCAAACAGAAAAAAAGCAGCTTAAAATTTTCCATTATTCTGCAGAATTACACATATTTTACTTTCAAGTTTCAAGTTCTTTTCTTTCGTTCTTTGTTGAAATCAGGTCTCTCTTGTAAATGAGTCCTCGAGGCTCAATGGGATTAACCTGTCTAAATAAAGGTTGAATGAAAAAAAAAGTTCACAATGTTTTTAGTTTTTTTGTCTAGGTTTGCCACTTTATACAAATCTGTCACATACAGTTAACTGATATAATTTAAGTTGTATATTGGTGCCTTTAACAGAAACTGAACGGGTGAACTGAATTCAGTTGAATAAACAAAATTCCGCAGATACTTTAAAATAAAAAAATTTGAAAAAATAAGTTTTAGGTTTTAACATAAATACCAAGATAATGGAAATATGACCAATAGCCAAAATATATTTTAATTTTAGCTTTTTTTAACAGATCACTTGAATTTAAAAATTCCATAAGAACAATAATGATATTTTTTAATATTTCAAGTTTTTTTAAGGTATATGCCTCGTTTTTCTAACATGAATGTAAACATTTGCTTATTTTTAAGAAATATATTTGGACTTTGTTTGACTAAAAAGCATTTTTGTTGGGTTCCCTTTGCTTTGAAGAAATATTTTGTGATAATTGGAATAATTGGAATCTGATTTTTTTTAAAGGAAAGTATATAGTTTTTCAGTATTTTAAAGAAAGTAAGGTAATTAGCAAATTAAAGTAAAGTGTAAAAAACAAAGATGCTAAGATTAACTTTTGTAATCTCTGGGAAAATAAAATAGTTTTAGTGGCAGCTTTAACCCTCCTGCTGCCCTTGGGTCAAAATGTATATATATATAT